CAATTCATTGATATTGTACTTCAATAATTCATTAAAAATTTAATTACCTGTATGTGTTAAAACTAAGAATAGATGAATTGTGATAATTAAGTGCTCATTATTCTTATATTTTATATTTACCTTTATATTTTCTATATTAAAATATCAAAATGAAATTAACAGGTGATTGTTATTTAGAAATAATCAAAAAGCTTAAAAATGATCACCATACTTTATATAATTGCCTCTTAATTAATCGCTTATTTTGTCAATTTACTATAGGCCAACCCTTTCTATAATACAACCAAATATTTGATAAATATTATATCTATTTTTCTTATTTATCTTGATGAAATTGAAAAGCATCAATTGACTTCAAATGCGTATCAGGTTGATCTATCATGTACACAAATTTTCCAAAAAACTTTATTTGAAAAAGTTGATTTTCTAGAAACTTATTCTAGCTTAGAAATAAAAAATATCATCTCAACTTGGTATCAATATACTTAGAATATATCTAAGCCTAGTTTAGAAATATCAACCTCAATAGCTATCCAAAGCATGTTATTAGAAGATGTAAGAGAATTAAGAAATTCAACATTTTAGTAGCTGAAGATAGCTCATTATTTTCTTTAATTCCTAACTCATGGTTCTATTCTTTTGAATTAAGAGAATGCGATTTTAAATTTATTGCTTCAAATAGTTAAAGCATAATTGTATACAATTATATTAAATTAATTAGAAATAGAAGAATTCAAACCATTCAAATTATGGATATTAATTGATGATCCACCAGTCAACCAGAGAATGATCATAGTAAAATGTGACTCAAATTATTTATAAAAATTAGAGGTCTCCAAATGTGGCGTATGTGTATCTAAAATATTTTTTATACTAAGTTAATTACTTTTTAACTTAAGAGACTTTTGTAGAGCTTGTCAAGACGCATCTAATGATGGTTAGAGCATCAAAATCGGCCTGGTAGGTGCCAGATATCTTTAAAAAACATTTCTTTTACTATATAAACTTCTTTGTAAACAATAGTATTGTTTGCAAACATTTTTTAAAGATATCTCGACATCCACCAAGCCGATTTTGACGCTCTAACCACCATTAAATATGTCTTGACAAACTCTACAAAAGTTTCTTAAGTTAGAAAAGTGATTAACTTAGTATAAAAAAGTTATAGACGCGTGCACACCATATTTGAAAACCCCTAATTTTTATAAGTAATTTAAGTCATATTTTACTATGATCACTCTCTGGTTGACTAGTGGATCACCAATTAATGAAGTTATGCCACAAAATTGTTGAGAACAATTATTAAATTTAATTAGCACTCAAACTAAACTTAAAGAACTTGAACTACTTATTACGCATCTAATTTTACACCTATTTTTGTGACAAAAAAAGTTTCAAAGCCTTAAAAAACTAATTTTACAATGAATCAAATTTGACAAAGATAATCTTGCAAATAATACACCAAACTTAGAGATTTTATCAATAAAGAATTCTTTTAAAATTCTTTTTGGAGAAGGAAAAATAATTTATATAACCTTTAAAAGTTTAAATTAGAAAATAATGAAATAGAATTAAATAGAATTGTGCTAAAGGTAAAATGTGAATTATTAAAATTTTTTAGAATAAAAGATAAAGAGTTAATTAATGAAGTAAAAGAGGAATTTATTTTGTTACTTAGTCAAAATTATCCAAATATAACTACTTTATGTTATATAACTGACAATTTTATATTCTCTTCTATATTTAAACTATTTAAAAAACTTTATCAACTAAAATAAAAGGCTTTGCTTATTATTATTTGCCTTATAGTAATCAGGATTATTTACAAGCTTTAGTTAAATATTTGCCTAACTCTTTAAAAATTCTTAAATTACTTAATATTGACAATTATAACTATGAATACTTAAATTATTTTTACAAGATTTCAATATAAAAAGAGTAAAGTTAGAGGTTCTTATATTACCTTTTAATATTGAGCTTGATTTACTTCCAAATTTAAAAAAATTTGTTAAAAAAGCTAAATATTTAAAATATATAGAAATATTTCTATTAGAAAATTACAATACAGAAAAACAAAAAAATAGTGAGAGAGAAATAATTGATCTTTGCCATGATAGAAATATAAAATATATATTAAATTATCAATTTGAGCTATATAAAGATTATTTTAATACTTATAAGATAGAACTTGAATCATATTATCAGATTTTCAGAAAACAAACCTTAAAATTTTATGATTACTAAAAACTAAAAATTTATTAATTGATGATCCTTCAGTCAACTGAAGAATGATCATAGTAAAATGTGACTCAGATTACTATATAAATTTACATAGTAAAAGAGAGGTTTTTTAAAGATATCTCAGCACCCACCAGGCCGATTTTGACGTTCTAACTACCATTAGATGCGTTTTGACAAGCTTTACAAAAGTCTCTTAAGCAAGAAAGGTGATTAACTTAGTATAAAAAAAGTTTACCTTGGGCGATCACCATATTCGCACTATAGTAAATTTATATAGTAATCTGAGTCACCTTTTACTATGATCATTCTTCAGTTGACTGGAGGATCATCAATTAAATTATTTTATATACATAAAACAATTCTGAAAATCTGTCAATATATGTCTGCATATGAACTAAAAAATATTAGTCTTCTAAAATAAAATTTTTGAAATGGTAAAGATAATGTGATTTAATGAATCTATAGGTCTGTTATATCATGTAATACTATTCATTCTGATAGGAAAATTTTATTACTATTTTCTTTTTCTTTTCTTTTTTTTTAAAAAAAAAATTATTACTTATAACACCAGCAAATAAATACAAAAAGGCCTCCAACTCAACTCAACGTGGTTTTGCTAGAAAAAAATCAGATTAAATATTTTACTAATATTAAAGATGAGTGAAGATACTGGGTAGAATTGTGGCTGTTTATGAAATTGCACATGTCTAGTATCAATAGAATCTGTCCTTACAAATAATAACTAATAGAAAAGAAAATGAAAAACTGACCAATAGAAAAATTTATTCTTAACCAATATGGAAAATTTATTGTTTTCATCTAACCAACTAATAGAAAAAATTCATTTAACTAATATAGAAAATTAGTTGTTTTCATCTAACTGGCCAATAGAAAAAATTCATTCTTGACCAATATGAAAAATCAATGTTTTTATCCAACTAACCAATAGAAAAAATTCAATCTTATAATTTTTGTAATATCACATGATTTCACAAACCTATGGTTCCCTTGAATAAAGATAAAAAAGATAAAAAAAGTCTATTTATAAAGCATTGTAAAAATCCAGATTCATTTTACAATTTAAAAAAATGTAATACAATTAAAATTGTTCTTTTGAATTGTTCAAAAATTTCTTATTTATGTTCCTTAATTATTTATAATAAATAATAAATTCAATACATTATTTTGACTTCCTTTAAAAAAAATTTTTTTTTAATATGCTGAAAAAAGCTAATTGCAAAAAAATACTTGACTGTTTTTCAATTGCAGATGCAATTATGAACATAGCTAATAAAGCAAAGAAAACCCTAAATTATTATCCCAAAGTTACTGTTATCTTACTAACAAATATATCTGGGAAAGCAAGAACAGATAGTGCTAATTATGTGGCAAAAAAATATAAAGTGTTTGATCAAATTGGTATTTTTATGCAGGTAATAAAAATTTTATCACAATATAATGAATCTCAAATTAAAGAGCTTATTAAAAATCAAGGTAATGATTCTAGCAATACTGGTATCAGTGATGTACATGGACATGGACATGTCCATGGACTGTCCATGGACATGGACATAACATGTCCATGGACATGGACATTCTATGTCCATGGACAAGCTAAATTTAGTAATGGCTATATTATTTCTTGACGTATTATTTCTAAGCAAAAGGTTGAGAATTCTAGATTTTTCAATTTATTGAGATTGATAATGCATTATTTCTATAGAGTTTGATCTTTTTAAATTTCCTGTACTGTACATACAGTATGTAGTACTTCATGTCATCTAAATTGGAAATCTAGTTTGTAATCGTAGTGAAATACTTGACATATGTTAAATTTATTGAGTTAAACAGTATGACTAATTTGTAAATGCCAAATCGTACACATCCCAACTTACCAAATATTGAGAAAATACACAAAGCAAAAAGTATGCCAAGATGGAAATCAGTTCCCGGGCGAAAATTGGTGTCAACATTATGTCATACATGGTAACTATTGAAGAGTACCTGAATTAAAAGGAAGAATTAAAGTCGCTAAAAAAATATCGCTTTTAGGTTAGTTCAAAGGTCTCGTGATTACATGGTTTGATCACGATCGTCAGGTAATAAATTAATCGAATCAAGAAATATATCAGTTATGCAAGCATGGTAATGATAGTGATGCGTAAAAATATGTAGAGTTAAAGTTAGTTATTGTATGAGTAGATTAGTAATGATAAATAATGTAATTGATGAAAATAAAATATATAAGGAGAAAAATAAAGAAAATTAGTTATCTCTCTTGCGCTTAAAATAAGTACTAGCTATCGAAACCCTTAACTTCATATCGAGACGTTATGCTTGACTTTATTCTTGACTTTATTTTGATGCTTATCAAGTCCACGACAATGACGAAGAATAATTGTGCTTAACAGATTTAAATAAAATAAATTCCACTTGAAAGAAATCAAATATTATACGTATACTGTATTATTCATAAAAATTCTATTTATTTACTGAATATATTTAAAATTAAAGCATTCTGGACGTAAAAGTGCAGATTCTAATATCCTCCTTATGAACGAATATTTTTTTAAGTCCTACAGTAAATAACATATAACATTTACTATGTAATAATGTTTTTTAAAAAAAAAAGTCAAGTTCAAAAATACTAAGTACAAACACATAACGACAGTGTTCATTATGACCTATTTACTAATTATAGGTTATGGCCTTACGATCTGTTATATGTAACATTTACTATTACATTATGATCATTTTGGTCAGATAAAGATATGACCTAAAACAACCAACACTGCCAACAAGCTATTTTATGAAACATAATTTGTCAGGTTCACAAATTTTAAAAAATGTTTTTTAGTTCTAATTTTTTAAACAGGGTGGCCAACTCCCATTTCGCGTTAGTGTCAATCGCAGGATGGGTAAGAGAAAGTTCATCATCCATATATCCCTCTTCTATATCCTCCTCTTCAAAATGCTTTCTTTCTTCTTCTAACATATCTGCCCACACTTGCAAATAATTA